ACCTTCTTCTGGAAGACAAAGAAAAAACATGATAGAAATAATAACAATAAACATGTAGAGAACAGACACTAAATCCAAGATGGTCTCCACAACTAAAAGGAAGAATTTACCGTAACTCAGCCATTTTTAGCTATATTGAGGTGAAACTTTGTGTGGAGGTAGCCAAGAGTAAATCCTCAAAACTATGTTGAAAATAATCCTGCACCAAGAGGCAAGTCCTTTCAGAGTTCCTCCAGGAACTATTCCAGTTCATCCAGCACCATAGATTTACAGATTATCATGACAGGCTCAGTATTTCAGCTCAGTCCATGTAGCTGACTGTAACAACACATTTTATTTTATTAAAATAAATCACAGTAAAACAGGCAAGAGGACAAAAACGAGTTTTAAAATCTATAAAAACTAAAAGTTACATCTTTAAGAAACTGAAACCAGTTCTGTTTGTCAAACTGAGTTATCTTTGGTATTTTTCATCCGTTCAGTTAAAACAGAATAATTTCTGCCAGCTTCAGGTTAAGATCCTGTTGTGATGGAGTTGATCCAGCCTTGAAAATCTCTGTAAAACCGTCTGAGTTGTAGCTGTTTTTAAAGTCTGGTTACTTTGCCCCCCCACACACACAGCTGGCCCACTTCATGTCTCGGTTCCAGTACTTCGTGTGTCCGGTGGAGTTTAACAGCGACACCAACAGGTTCACGGTGGAGTGCGAGCCCTCGGAGCTGTTCGTGCTGCAGGAGTACACGCTTCCTGCGGCGCTGCAGAACCTCCTCAGATGGGTACGATTTGACTCTCCATGTCTGTTTGTTCGGGACGAATCGGAACACAAACTGAAACACCTGCTTTCTGTTTCTGTTTTTCAGGAAACGGTGACCCTCTACCCCTTCTGCATCCACAGCGTCTTCCTGTCCTCCTTCGCGTCGCTCATTGGGCCGTTTGGAGGTTTCTTCGCCAGCGGCTTCAAGCGAGCGTTCAAAATCAAAGTAAAGACGCTTTTTTTATCTGTTCTCAGGGCCGTTTAAACACTTTAACTCAGTCAAAAAGAAAGAATCAGTAGGTCCTCAGGATGGGTTCTTCTTTAKTGAAACGTGTCGTCTCTCCTCCAAGAGACTTCTTCAGTCTGATGAGTTTCAGGTGAACTCAGACTTTTAAGCTCCGCCTCCACCTGGACAAACAGGTTAGTCACATGCGAAATAGGTCCATCAACTAACAATAGGCTTGATTAGCTCTATTGTTCATAGAGGGTCATGTGCCCCATCATCTGACCCGTGTCGTGTTGTGTGAATGTAGTGAATGCAAGTGGGGGTTCAACGTCCCCTTGTTTTTGTTTTTTCCCTCTGTGTGTTGGTATCATTGGGGTTCTGATTCACACCTTTTGCTCACAGGGGGCGGAGTCAWACTTGCAATAACAGCGTTGTAGGAGGAGGACAACTGGACACGAAGGCCTCCATCTCTGTTCAATGGTGGACGGTTTTTCTTCACAAAGATGACTTCCTTTACTCCTCTCTGAAACCAACGTTCCTCTCTGTCAAGG